TGACTTTTTGGGACGAGAGTATGGTATGGTGATTCCCTAAGGTAGCACAAATTTGTGAGTCACTTGAACAATTCACACAAGGCCACTGTTAGGGTGGAAAGCTTAGTAGGTGCTCGTGGTGCGGGTGGAGAAAGATTTCTCATACGGAAATTAAGATACATCAGTAAAATTTATTTTAGAAGAACAGGGAGGATGAGAGAGAGAGAAAGAAACAGAAAGAGAGAAAGGGGCGGGGGAGGAGAGCAGAGAGACGGTGGCGTCCCAGAGAAGGAGAAGGGAGATGCCCGCTGGAGACCAAGTGGCTTGTTGCTTTTATGGCGACAAAGAGAAAAGTAGTAATTGTTGTGGAGTGATTAGCAGGCGGTTGCAAGACGTCAAGTTGTCCGTCCTTGTTCCTTCTGTTCCTGGAGACGTGGTCATCTCTGAGATGCAGTGAGGCCTGTGGCAGGGGGTGTGATTTGTGCCCATGAGATACGGTTTTGGGCAGGAACTAAGGCCTGGAGTTTACCCTCCTGCTGTCTGTCCGGGAGCTTCTCAGGAACACCTGGGGTCTGCAAAACAGGTTCTGAAGGCTGCGAGCTGGGGACAAGCAAAGAGAAAGATTTACATTTCCTCTTTTGGCTCTTTTCTCGGCTATATGTGGGAAAAAAAGAATCCCAGCAGGGTGCCTGCTAGTTTGGGACAGAAACAGCAAAGAGTAGGAAGAGCTCTAGATTGATCTTTAGGCCACTTTCGCCCAGAAGTTGCTGCCCTAGGAGTGTCGTGTAAATTCTGTATCACAGCCCAGGGGAGGGCTGAGTTCGGATCAGGACCCCAGGCGCCTTCCTCGGAACAGGAGTGGACCGGACCCCCTGCAGGACGTGGCTACCTGCACTTTCTAACCCAGAGGGGGAAGTCGCGGCCTCAACAGCCACCCTGAGGCTCACTCCTGCCCAAAGAGGTGCAGGGTCCCAGACAGGGGCCCATAACGGCTGGACACCGAGGACACATCGGCCACTGGGGGGCGACAGATGGTGGCTGGCGCCCCGAGAGCATCAGAGGCGAGCGCCAGCACCGTTCTCTGAGGGGGAAGCCGCCCCAGAGGGGGACTCGCACGGCGTCCTGCCACGAGCCCTGACAACGCGATGATTCCAATCGAGGTCCTACTCTGCCATCCCATATTTAACCATTTTGTCACATCGCCTCATAGAAACATGTCACCAACTTGTCAACCAAACGTTTCCGGTGGCTGAAGATATCTACTGAATGACGACAAATGCCACCGTCAAACGTCCCCACCTTACGTAGCGGCTCTGCCCGAAGCATGTTCATACGCTCCATTTACTCCATCCCGCGAGGCTCATTTCAGACAAGGGGGTGCTTTTGTTTTTGCCGGAAAATCTGAATATAACCAGGAGTATTTGCACTTGTGTGCAGGAGGTGGGAATGCCGTTGTTTGTCCCCCAGATATTTCAAAGATGTTCTTAAATGTTCTGTTATTACAGTGACGTGAAGTCGTATTACGTATTTACTCGGGCGATTCATTGTAAGACTGCAATTCTAGCTTCAATTAGATGAGAAACAGAAATCATACCTTAACTGAACAAGGAGAGTTTGGTTTTTAAGCAGTGGTGGCAACTGAAGACAGACACTTTCAAATAATTTATTTTCCATGAAAGCAAGCAGATCATCTTTATTCCATTAGCCAAGAAAACCTTGCAGTGATTTCGATTATTAAACATGTTTAGCCTCCCTTTTTCTGATTTATGCGTTGCCTGCCTGCCTGCCCACACCCAGACCCTCCATGCTGGCATAAACTGAATGACTCCACAAGCAACCTAATTGCAAACTCAATTCAAGCCTCTTTCGATGGGCTCACGTGTAATTTGCACCTCTTTATGACTAATACAAGTCATTTATGAGTTGTGTATAATCTTCTCTCAGTCTGGAAGTTTCCCCCCACCCCACTTTTAAATATCTTTCTCTAAAAGGGCATATGAGTCCCTGAAGTTTATCTTAAAAATGAGTTTTACACAGCAAGTAATTAAACATGAGAAGACATCGAATATTCTCTGATGCTTTGATCTCCTTAAATCAAACCTCAGGTAATGCAATTCCAGAGTTCCTGGAAATAGAAAGTATAGCACATTAAAAAAATGAGAGGTAGAGGGATGATCACACAGACACTCCTATTTTGGAAATTTACTTTTTAACTTTGACTGTTTCCTTTGAAAAATCTCAAGCATAATTGATATTTTAATTTCAGAAGAACCGCCCATCAACCAGGTAGAAGAGCCAGATCCAGTGAGCTTCATATCTCACACTAGATAAAATTTAAATAAAACCTACTCAATTTCTAAACCATGGCTTTTCGTTTTGTTTTGACTGTAAAAAATATTATAGCAGCATTAAAGGGATATTTCATAAAACTGTCCCAACATCACTGATTGTCTTTATTTATATTAACATATCCATTTGCTTTCTAACTCTCAAGAGATAAGACAGAAATAAAACTCCAGAACTAAATGCTGTTCCGGGAGCAGAAGGTGTCGCGGGACAGCGGTGGCCTGGTGTCCCGCCCCGTGGCCTTGCTACGCTGCAGCCCCTGCCTACCGGTTCCTCATCTCCCACAAGTCCCCGAATTCCTATTTTCCATTTACTAGTGATCCCCAAACTAAAAATAAATCCTTGTTTTTCCCTTTTGCATAACAATAATAATAAAAGTTCCTCGAGGGCAGAGACAAGATCTTTTCTATTTATCCCAGTGCTTAATCCAGGGCTGGGCACATGGCATTTTCAGTTACTAAATAAAAATAAGAAAAAAAAAAAAGCAATTTATGTCTTTCTGTTGGCTTCAAATCAATCTTATCTTTTTCATAACCTCTGATTCTCCTAAAATCACAGATTTAGTGATAAAGAAGAACAAATCACTGTTGGCACATTTAACACTTGTACATTTTATTTAATTAAATCAGCCATTGTACACATTGCAGCTATGTATTGTTAGTGTTGTATTTTTTTCCATTAACTAATACATGCCCTCATAGATATATTCAATTAGTGTTATCACCATGGGAACAAGATGCTGATTCATCAACTGAAAATTCACTTCTTCTCACAGTATTCAAGTTTTTTGATAACACAGCAAAAATCAAAACCAAAAAAAGGTGAATAACCATTATGCTGTTACACAGACATCATCTGCACTGCAAATAACACAACAGAAATGCTTTTCTTGAGCTCCAGTGAAGGTTTTGACAAGGAGGCCATAGGGTGTCTCAAAAAGTTCCACTATGGGCCTCTCTCATTTTGGCTGCCAAAGAATGTTTTATTTCCTATCCAACTGCCAAAAAGTGCTAGCATTTGAGGCTTAGGAGATTTGGCTTGTGGGAAACCTCCCCAGGAAATTTTTTTCTCTTGGCAACATTACTTTAAATGATGAAGTGCCATTGTTTGTCACATTTGTTTTTGACAGTCGGAGCAATGAGTCATTTTTGCACAACAGGAAAAGATCAGATAATTGGAAAATGTTCAATCCCTGGAGGATAGACTCTTTTTTTTTTTTTAATTTCATCTTCATTGAATATACTTTCTTTAACAAATAACTGATTCAAAATGTATACTGTTTATATGAATATATTTGTGAATATATATATATGTTAAAATGCTACACAGCTTCAACCACTAGAGGAATAAGGAATAGGACATGGAAATCACTCAGATTGTTATAATCCCTTCTTTGAAACAAACAGAGAAGTGCACAAATGCACTTAAGAGTTTCCAAGGGAGTGTGGATTTCAAATAAATAAACCAAAAATTTTAACCCAAACCAAATTTGCAAAGATTTCTCAATCTCGTCTGCAAGCTGAAAAACAGACCCAGCTGGAAAGTGGAAAGTGTTCACTCGGCGGGGAGAAAGAATGAAAACCATTAATGTGATTAGAAGAGGGGTTTTGACTGTGGTTTTGATTTTTAAGTGCCACATGCAGGTATTAGAGAAGATAGAAACCTGGAGAAAAAAAAAGAAACCACTCCAACATAGTGAAGGAGTTTTAACCTTCATGTCGTGGGTAAATCTTGTTTCCAATGAATTATCTACAGTGCAGTGGCCAGAAGAAAGTCCCACCAGTAAGACAGTGTGGTTTGCTAAAGCAGCAATGAAAAAACTGGAAAACTACAGTAGTTATAGCTTTTAAAATACCCTGCCAGCGTGCCCCAAATCGAAAAGACCTGAAGATGCTAGAATGCCACCTGACGTAGCTGCTAGCAACTGGATACCTCCTCGTTTCCTTGTTTCCTCCTCTTCCCTTCCCCCCCTCCCTGGGAGTGGTTGCTGGAAAGAGTCATACGCGTGGCTGGCCAGCACCAGCAGTAGCTTCTTAGTTAAGACCGTTCTTTGAGGTTATTAGTCCATCTTTAACTAGGAGCAATGGCTACTCTGGAAGATCTAAGGACATGATAGGTCTGAAGTGCTTCTTTTGCAGTAAAACTGTATTATCATTCGATTGTGTTAGCAATATCGTAATTAACCATCGTTCGGCAATTTCTAGAGGCCTTTTGTTCCGTGATGCCCAGTGTAGTTATGATAGGCAGTGGTTTTAATTCTAATCTGTTGTTCATCTGAGCATTTCAGCTATATACATTGTACACGGACATCCCTCTGAAGGACTCCTATACGTCGTCACGCGAAGAGGTCTGCAGGTGAAGTTCTTCTGATCAGTGGATGTTCATGGAGCTTGTGCAGAAGCAAAGAACCATGGAGGTGGCCAGTCCCCAGCTTAGCACAGACACAACAGAGTGGTGGACACAGCATCCGGAAGGAAGGATGCTATCTTTGGTCACAAATTAGCTCAGAGTTAAAGAGGATGGGGGAGAACGAAAACAAAATGCAGTATATTTGCTAACAGTGGAAAGGCTGGGGTATCCCACGAATTTGGCTAGTTAGGTCACTCCTCCAATGAAAGAGGAAGCTGCATGTTGAGTGAAATGTGCGGTTTCTGGCGTGAGGATTGGGCAGCCCCTCATTTGGCCTCTGGCTTCAAGTCCTCGTTGCAGAAATGTCGCAGGAGCCGCTGGAGATCGTGCCGGAGGGCGTCCTGGTCTAGTGCTTCTGGTACATCCTCCAGGTGCTCCAAGTCGATGCGTTTTCCGTGCTGGTCCTTCACCACAGCCCTCTTCTGTGTGCTGGCTTTACTCATGGTTGTCCTGTGGGAAAGCAGACACGAGGGCGTTACGCTCTCTGTTACTGCTAAGCGGCAGCCGCTAGGTCTGAGGGTAACCGTCACTAGAGCACTGACTGTCTTACCTCTAGACCTTTCCATACCACACTATTAACTGCAGGCATCTTTTCATGTCTCCCTATTTGAAATGATTCAAGAGAATTTTTTTAAAGTGTGTTGGAACAACAAGTATTTTTAAACCTTAAGAAATATTTCAAATAAATGAAATCATGCTTTAAGGTGACCCTCTCAAAAAGCAACCACACGATCATTCATGTTTTGATGACGCTGCACTGATCTAACAGAGCTTGGTTGGTCCTGAGATGATGATTCCACAAGTACCTTTTGACAGGCTCAAAAGATATTGTTTTAAATTGAATTTATTTAAAACACCCATAGCTGCCAGCTTAATCCCTACCACATCCCAACCCAAAATTATGTTCTAAGAGAGCTTTCCCATGAGACATAGATCTTTAAAAACTGAAATATTATTCTATCAATATACAGGAAGGTGACTACCGACAGGAGATGATTTCTCTGCAGGCTCAGAGCCCCACGCACTCCTTGCTTTGCGTCTCCTACTGCCTTTAACCGTCTGGCGCTACCGCCTCCCTCGGCAGATTGCTGAGGGCTTCAGGAAGGGAGCTGGAACTTACTATTGCATTTCATACTCCTATCTTCCTGCATCCCTACTGGAAAACGATCATATTGTAATCTGTTCACTCTCTACTTGTAAATATAATTCTTCATTGCACAAATATTTGATGAATGTGTTTTACATGCCAGACACTATTATTATAACAAATAAGGAAATTGAATCTCAGAAAATTTAAGCAATACCCCAAATAAAATATAACAGAGTTCGCACGCAGTGGGGCAAAGCGTCCCAGTGCCTGAGTCCATAACTGCTCTGCCCGCATCCTCACTGAACACCACCGTGGGAAATGATCGGTTTTTGTAGTGTTATCCACATTTCCCTTACAGATTCCTAGTGTTCAGAAATCGGAAGTTTTGTCCACCTTCCAACACCTCTCTGCATTTGTTAAGATCATCCTGATTTTTAAAACATGGCTGCCTTCACCCAAAATACTTCCCACTTCCTTTTGGGCACCTTTGTTTCCTTCTTCCTTCTCCTTCCACGTTCTCTTACTCTCCCCTTTTCTTTGATGCTGCATTAATGATTTTATATCTGAAAGCTAATTTAAATTTGCTCCTCTTGATGAAAAGGTCAAATTTGGTTCCGATGACTGAAATCAGATTACGTTTTTCTAACTATTCGGCATTTGCTATTTTTTTTCCTCCAAAAAGGCAAATTTCTACGACTATTTCTGCTAGGAGCTGGTAGAAGCCTTTATAGCACTGGTGTTAGGGGATAAGCCTCCATCACAGGACATTTCCTGGTATTTTGTGCAGTCATATGTAGAAGAACGTGTTTATGAATATGCACACGTATGTGATCAAATGTCTTCAACGATGGATAAAGTATTGTAGGTCACAAACAGAGTTCCATAACTAGCTAGCTGTGCTAACTTAATTGAGTTGTCTACATTCCTAGCTTCAAATTCACCAGCTGTCGTTGAGAACTTCAGATTAATTGGTCTCTAAATCTATTCCAGTTTGAAGATCTCTTGATGCTAAGACATGCATGGTTTATGTGGTTTTGTCTGAATAACTGGATAAAAGACTTAAAAGTTCAGATTATAAAAGCCATTTCATCCTTAATTCATGTAGGATTTTTAAAGTTCTAAGAGAGCAATTACACTCTTTTCAATTCCTGGCTGCTGCTATTTTTCACATTTGCCTGGAGGGCGGAATTGTGACAGAACCTTTAATTTTGCTGTTCTAATTATTATGTTCTAAGGGCTTAAAATAGCTTTGCAGATTACTATACATGACAATCTTTCTCTCCTTTTCAATGAAGTGAAAAGCACATTCGTAACTTGAATCTCCATTGTGTCTTTCACTGAGAAGCTGAGAATGTTTTCTTAATCTAGAGGCTTCCAGGGCTGAGAGAGGATCAGTGAGAAGTGGGAACAGACCAAGGAACCGCGCCCACATTGACACATCGAGTCTGTGATGGAGACAGAAACAGACCAGCGCTGCTCCCAGCTGCACGGTGCTGCTCACGGCTTTCACGGCACTTTCATGACTTGGTAAAGCCCCTGGTTCCAGCATCGCTAAGAACACTCGGTGCCTAGGTATCCAATCATGCTCATGTTATTTGCCACGCACATGCAGAACCATAAAACACCTCGTTAAAAAAAAAAAAAAAAGCATGTATCATTCAAAGTAATGATTTATTAAGATTAAGCTGAATGTAGCTGGTCACAAAATTAATTTGTGATCAATGGATTAGATTCTTCTTCCTGTGCTCTCCAAATCTGTCAACACGATGGAATACCCCAGCTGGTGGCTTCAACAAATCAATGACTTGCTAAAACCCAAGGAGTCAGATTGCGTAAACGCAATCTCACTATTGCTGTGCCTTACTACTGCTTTTAAAGCATCAGGTGTGACATTCTGACAGATCACCCCTTGACCAAAGCCAGTACAGGACAGTCAGCAGTTCCCAAGGGGTTTCAGGGCATCTGTAGGGGCTCTGCCCTCTTTTTCCTAAAACTGGAAAACTTTTTACGGTGTTAGTTAGCAAAGAAAGCATCACCCCATGCTAACCCGAACCTTTTAATTACTGATCCATCCTCTTTCAGGATTTCATTCTCTACTAAACTGGGGAAGTGCACTTTCGTGTGGCTACCTGCATAACTCAAAGCCTGAAGTGAGAAAAAAAGACAAGGAGACAAAACTCATCAGAAACTATAGACTTTAAAAGAATCTATTGCTTTACTTAATTCATAGTCAGTATGAAAATATAAGCTCGAAATAAAAATAACTCCTAGAAGCAGATCTAAGTTTTGAGTTTTATTTCACAAGTGCCTTAAATTTCTCCCATTTGTGAGGGAGATTTGTTATACTACTTTATAAAAGCTGCTAATTAATATCCACATGGATTGACTTTCAATTTCCTCCTACCCTCACCCACTCCTTTTTACAGAGGAGACCCCAGTGATCAATATGATAACCAGAGGCAAAAACAAACAAGGCCCAAAGTGTGTAACTCAGATAATACATCACAGCTGTCAAAATGTGGAAGCTGAAAGTATTTAAATAAGGTGTGCTTTTAATATCCCAATGCACTCATATATAATCTCAATATATTAATATATTGTGAGTGTAGCAGTGGACACACATACAGCACCTAACTTCAAAATGTTTCAACAGCAAAAATATTTTGTAGATGTTTGCATCTGCCCACGATCCCTTAATCAAAACCTTGGGGCCAGACGTGTTTCAAAATTTAGATTTTTTTTTTCTTTTGAATTTTAGAAAGGTAATATGACGCATGTACAATCAATCGCGCACCACAAAACGACGTTTCGGCCAATGATGGATTGCACGTGTGACAGTGGTCCCAGAAGGTTACAATAGAGCTGAAAAGTCCCCAC